GGAGAACAGAGCTGGGGAGAACAGAGCTGGGGAGAACAGAGCTGGGGTACGGCGCAGAGCTCTGCTCAGCCGCAGGGCTGCAGGGAGGAAGCAGCGCTCTGCAATGAGGCAGCTCCTGCTCAGCTTCACATCCACAGCTCCAATCACCGATGACTGAGCTGGCGTCAGGAAAGTGCTACAAACACTGCCTTCCGAAGGCTTCTGCTCGAGAGGTCGTGCAGCTATCCCACGCTCTGCTCTTCCACCATTTACATTATTTAACATAAACACATGCACATAAAATAAATACCCCATAAAGCAGTCCATTACCAACAATTTACATACGCTCACACACACTCCCAACTTGTCTCAGGTTGGGGAATCCGTGCACTACCCCCTCGATGCAAATTAAACCACCCTTATCACACAGATACACCACAGGAGCAGCAAGAAACTAACTGAGCATCTCACTTTAACTACATCCAAAGAGGAAAGGCCAGATTCCTGTTAGGATGGGATGCCTTTCAAGGAGATCCTGCCCTTGGAGAGGGCTCAAACAACGCCAAGCACACATGAAGAGCAGGTTCACCTTGGGAAAGCAATCCTGCTGGTGGCTTGTCTAAGCCTGGTACCTTTTAGAACAAAAATCACCAGCAATCCGAAGCTCTTCCACCACCACCCCGACTTCTCTCAAAGCACCATTTAGATGAAGGAATGAAAAAAAAAAACCTGCAGGCTGTTCCAGGCTGCCCACTCGCTCTGCCCTGCAATGCTGTGGATCAATCTGCCAGGCTGCTTCAGTAGCCTCACTTTGTCAGGTCTGGAGAAAGCGAGCTCCATGCTGAGCAGTGCTGAGGTGAAGCCGCAGCAGTGCAGCTGTCAGACGTGCTGACCATGTGAACCTGCTGACTTTCCATTCATAGCCAACAGAGAAACTCGTCCTGCACCGAGTGCTAACCAGAACAACCGTGACCAGATAACCTTTAAGGCCCACCTCTGCTTTCAGGAGCCAAGGCAAAGGTGAAATTTAGCTCCTTTCTGAAGTCTGAACTAAACCTCATTTTCTATCCTTCCAGGTTTGGCCTCAGCATTATTTCAGCAAGCCACCAATGCCACAAGTGATGCCTTATATTGGGGTCATGTATCCCATTTTCAGTTCTTTTCTGTGTTGCCCAAGGATGAAATACAGGCAGCAAAACTGGAAGCACGGGATTCCAAAGGAAAGGCATCCATGTCCTCCTGGCGTCCCCCATCTGCACAGCAAGCTGAAGGCAGGCAACAGCTCTATGCTAAAGCTAATGAAGCACAGGGACAAAAGAGGGTATGCAATATTTTGGTTGTAAAGCTAACTTTCAATTCATGGAATTGCAAAATCTCCAGTAGGTGCAATTGGTACTAAACAAGAATCTGCACAAAGGAGCTTAGAACAAGCTTTTCATAGCAATTAATCCCAGAAAGAAAAAAAAAAGGTATCATGAAGAGGACAATGCTGCAGTACATCAGTTACTACTGTGGTTCACTTGAGCACATTTAGCTTCACGTACTCAGACAGCAAAACCGGATGAGGATCTCTGAACACAAAGCTCAGTAAAGGTGTTCACATCTCAAGGAAGGCTAGGAAGAAGATGGCAGCTGGGGAATCATCTACCTAACAGAGCAAGAGAGGAGCTGGTGAGGACTCGTGTGCCAGGAACAGTCTGAGGAGAGCAGCACTGCCCCTGCCAAAGGCTGGATGGACTTCAGCAGATTCGGCCTGTGCCACAGCTGGGCAGCTTTGGTCATCAGCTATAAGCTGGGCAGGCACCTCAATGAGCTCTGTCTCAGCTTTTCATGTCTTTCTACACATTCTCCTCCATTTTGCAGTCTCCTCACTGTTGCAGTAAGGGAAGGTATTAGAAAACAAATTCCACAAGGCTTTAGCATTCTCTGCAAAAGCAAGAAAACAAGGCAAGGAGCATGATGCAGCATTTGGTGAGGAGGCTCTCACCAGACCGCAGCACAAGGGGACAGGAGCTCAGCACCTGTCTGCTGTGAAGCAGCACCAAAATGCTCTCTAGAAGGATTCACTGCATTCCTCTGACTCAGAGGCCAGCCAACTTACAGACACTGTTGAGCAAAACACTGCAGTAGCAGCTGCTGCACCAACAGCTCCCTGCAAGGAGCAGCAGAGCTTCAACTGATGGTCCAGAAGTGCACGTAATTAAACAGCTCATGGGGCTGCAACTCCTCCATCAGATTCCAGCAGCTCCCACTGACACCACACATACCAGCACAAACACTGCATGTCTCCCCTGAGCACAGGAAGGGCCCAACAGAGAACACGACCCCCCCCAAAGGTCCCACATGGGTGGAACTGCAGAGCTGAACACAAGCTGCATCAGACAAACTGCATCCTCACATCCTTTCATTGCTTAACATACTCTCCAACATGCATACAAAAGCATATGCTCAAAAGAGGAGAGAGCATCACTAGCTGCATGGGAACCAGCAGAGTGCCCGAAGGCAAAGTGTTTCTGACTTCTTTTCCATTTCCATTAATTCTCTCCCTGTATTTTTATTGCTGCCCAAAGAACTTCATGCTCATGCATTCTTTCTGAAACTCAGCTGCAAGCTTTTTACACCAACAATGCTTAAAATGGAAATAGTTCTGTCTATTTGCTTTTCCTTGCTTTAACTGCTTCTTTAAGCTGTCAAATTCCCTCACTTCTCAGCTATTCTCCTGATGTTCCACCCCCAAACAATGCAAAGTCTCTTGGGAAGAAGAAAAATAGCCATTAAAAAAAAAAAACAAAAAGGAAATAAAGGAAGCAAAGAAAAGCTCTCTTTCCATTCCTAAGCCACATAACATGGAGTACAACCAATTATTGAGCAATAACACAAATGTTATTCCTGTGGTCTCTTGAAGGGAGTATCTTACTAACCTGATCTCTAGAGAGCTTTCATCTATTGTGAAATCCTTCAGCTCAGGACTCTTTCAAATCCAGTGATGGCAATAATTTGTCACCAGTGGGCTCCAGCTATAGCAGAAATTAAGGGATGCCCCTG